CGGAAAGTGAATGGAACGGACCCAACAAGTGCTCCCTGTCCCAATGATGGCCAACGGGTGGCCGCCATATTTTTCGATAGTCGCACGGTGACTATCAGTTAAGGAGGGGGTGATGTAACGGGGCAGCCCGTTACATGAAATTGTCACTTTATAGAAAGTGACAATAAAGAATATTATGTTGAATATTATTTGAAAAATATCACCAAAGTGGTGATATTGAAGGGTCGACCAAAGAGTCTGTTCATTGGTTGATATCGTGATGATATCGACCCACCAATCGCCGCAAGACGCGCGCAATGAGTGGTGACGAGACGTCACCATACACTCAGTTATATTAGCATAATTGAAGTTAAGTCAAAAAGAGAGACAGTAGTTAAAAGACTTAATTATATTAATAAAACAGTTCTGCTTTTACCTTACCTACGCTTCCTCGTTTGCCTTGTGTACGTCTGCCGGGGCACCGAAACCCTTGCGTTAAGTTCACGCAAGGGTGTGCCCCGTTACATTAAGGATTACCTTTATTGATCTGAAACGGGGAGAACAGGCGGCTACTGAGTCGAAGAGCGAGCATTGTGTTTCGTAGTAATAGCCGGATCAGTCGAATTTCGTCGTCATCGAGAAGCGGCTTGATCACATAGGGAAGTTTGTCGCGGTTGACAATGTCAAAAGCACGAGAGAGGTCGATCCAAGAATATGGAAGCGTTCTTTGTATCTCTGAGCGCGTGCTGCTATCCACCCGTGAGCCCACACTGCATCGGCAGTGCTGCGACAGGATCTGAACCCGCTTTGGCGCGGAAATAAATATTGTCCGAGCTTGGAGGAGATGCGGCGTGAAATCCATCAAAGAGATCTGCTTACACATGTTGTTAAGTAAGACGATGGGTCGAAGACTAGCGCATTGCCTAGCCGGCTTGTTTGGCTTTGACCGTCCGAGAAGAACCTAGTCGCCCAGGTGGATATTGGTATCTATGGCGAGTCCGTGGTTGATGATGTCGGCGAGTGGTTGAGCTAATATATCTGATCCATACTTGAGTGGCTCGGCAGAAATGGAGTCTGGGCCCGGTGCGCGTCCATTGCGTAAGCGAGAGAGCGCGCGTTCGAGCTCAAAGGCGGTGATCGAGTTGTTTAGGGGTCGTTTGACGCCGTCTTTGGTGACGGGCGTGCGTTAGGGATCGAAGAACTGGCCTTGAAAGTGTTGCTTGATCTAGATACCTGTTGCTTGGCGTCTGAGTATATAACTACCTGTAGAGTCATGTAACGAGATTGGTGGCAAGCGACGTCGGAATAGCGCTTGTAACGAGGTTACACGTCGGCTGGTAGTCGACGATAGGTGTGGTGCACACAAGATAGGGAGTACCCTATAAAGTAATTTTAGAATACAGTGAGTGTATCAATTGTTGAAGACTGATGTCTGTCATCAATTAATTACGAGATATTTTAAGAGGTTATTTGGGGCAGGTTAAATACGTTGTTCTAAGGTGTTCTTTTAGGTTTAATAAAGAAATAAAAATTCAGTTCCCCTTTTGATCACTAAAAGACACGTGCCTTACGTGGCGTCTTTGATCGGTTGGAGCTAGCAACGCCTGTAAAGGTAGCTGCTCCTGAGCACTCTGTGCTGTGATTCTTTTGAATCGTTTGGTCCCTTAGGAACGGGGACCGTAAGCTCTCTGAGCTTGTTGACTCTCTAAGTCGGGTTCTCTGAACCAAAACCTTAGCTCTCTGAGCTGTTGACTCTCTGAATCGAATTCGTAGAACCAAAGTTGCTCGTAAGAGCGTCAAGTATTTCTCTGACTTAAGGAGCTGTGTAGCTCCGCTACAGCGCTCGCGTGGCTTCAAACATGTGAGTCGAGCGGTTCGACATTTCAATGATAGCGAATTTCTCGTTGATGAAAGCCTCAGGAAGTGCATTGCTGCGTTCTCGAGTCCGGTGCATAAGTCGATTTCGTTTGGCTCGGAGACCCTTGACGTCTTGCGTGTGGTCGTTGTAGATGAGCTGCCGAAGTTGTTGTTGTTTGTACGAGAGGCGAGAAAGCTCGGTGTCCACCTCGTTAGCCTGATGTACATACGGTATGTAGCCGATAGTGTCCGCCGCGGCCTCAAGCGCAGAGTGAAGAGTGCTTGTACATCGTTGGTTCGTATTTATTCCTTGTTGCGATAGGTCGGCGAGGTAAACCTCTAGATATTCTAGGTATAAGGTGCGGTACTTGCCGTCACGGGCATAGATTTGTGTTGCCAAGCGCGTTTCAGCTTCGCTATCACGTGCTCGTTCTTGACGTCGGCGTAGTTCACGTAAGGCGCGGAGGTCGAAGTCGAGCGTGACGAGCTTGTGGTCTGACAGGGTAAGAGTACCTCTCAGGATTGCGCGTTACTGCATAATTCCTTCGTCCGTTGGCTGCAGATGATGTGGTCGATTTGGTTGAAGATGCTGTGGTTCTTACGTCGTAGTGTCCATGTCGTGATGTTGCGCGCACGTTTCCTAAATGCTGTGTTGGTGATATACAATTGTTAGCATCACAGAAAGAAGCGATGATGGGGCCATTGCGTTTCCGTCGGCCACGGCCCCATTGTCCATGAAACGATTTATTGTCGCGGCGATGACCGATTTTGGCGTAAAAGTCTCCGAGGATGATCGTCGTGTCGCGTTGAAGTAGCTTCGAATGTGCTGTGTTCAGGTCCGCGTAGAAGCCGTCTATTGATGCAACAGGATACCCACCCACTTTGGGGCGCGTATGCGTTCACGATGTTCACTCACTGGGATTTAGGTAGACGTAGTTGAAAACCCCCAACTCCATCGGAGTGGGCCCAGTATTTGTAAAGAAACCTGCGTAGATGAGGGGCAACTGCAAAACCAATTTCGTGCCAACGGTTGGAGCATGGAAGCGTATGGAGATGATACATTCCGGTCTTCTGTTCACTCTGAAAGGAAATGCGAGTTTCATGAATCCCCAAATTGTCGATCTTGTACGCTGATAGATCCATAAGAAGGGTCTCATATTGCTTGCGCTGGTAAACCAATGAACTGAACATTGAACGTACCTAAGCGGATATGCCGAGGCTTCTGTCACGGCTGCGTACGTCGTGGCGGCTTGGCTGGAGGCCGGGGGTGAGAGAGCTTAGAGAGAGCTTAGAAGATGGAGAGACCCGTCAAAGACTGACCGATGCCGTGAAGTACTCGTCGTAAGGCCTGAGCTCGCATCATTCTGGCTCAAGCAATCCGGGAGGGCGTCATCTCAACCCGACCAGGATGACCTCAAGCACGTGGAGCGAAAACGAACTCGCTCTTTAAATCACAAACGGTTGCAGGCACTTACATTCAGAAGACATATAGTCACCCGATGAATGTAGTGCCCGCGTCCCGTATTACGTACGACAATACGTATCGTTCATCAGTCGACCAAGAAGTGTTTGGGACGCATTTCCGATGCTGTTGAAAACCCGCATTAGCGTGGCAGACCGCCGAAAAACGGTCGGGTCCACAAGGAGGAAATAAGACCTCTGTTGCACACAAGCGGCAACACAGTAATTCCAGGCCGACTAGAGAGACGACTGTATAGGAACATACTGTGGCAGCATCACCACAGCTCGATGGCATAATGAATTTGATGCCCTTTTAACCTGAAATAGTTTGTAGGCCACAATTTAGACATCGACTGTCTTAGTTAATTCCGGACCAAGTGCAGAAGCTTATACACTTCGTTCTGATAGCTCCTTGAAGTCAACGTTGGGTATTGCTCATTTGCCAACCCTTATAACGAAACGGTATCTGTGATGTGTGCGTGGTGGCATAGTCAATGAGGTCTGTGTACTCCTCGCAGAGGACAAGCATGTTGCCAATATTCGGTCAGCAGCAGTATTTGCTGATAACAAACAACATACATTTCTCAGTAGCTCATCGATGGACGAAAGTAGAGGCGCATTTACGTTTAACGGGTGATACTATCCGTTCTGATCGTTGATAAACTACTTAGGGGTGTGTGAAACCTTGAACATTGGATCGTCCTGTGAAATATCGTAAGGTCGAGCCCATTTTGATCACACAGAAATGCGACCGGTCTCGTGGTTTTTCTGCCATAGAGGCCAATCTAGTGCTCCCTTAGCCGAACCAGCTTCTGACTCGTTTCGGACGATCGCAGAACCTACCGGCGGTATTGGAATTTCCAATTGAGTGGGGAGGAGAAGGATATTGTACGGACAAGCCCGACGCAGAGATGAATTTCGGGACGCTGGTAGTCATAAACGGTGGTAAAAGTGGGAGCATTTGGATTATACAGGTTGCTAAACTCGTTAAACTTGCCAACCAAGTACTTGCAGGGTAATAATGTTTGCTGATACGTAGAAAAGACGGCATGCATGAAGTTGCAGATGAAATCTCCTCCAGCGTCCAAGTGCACAAGCTTCAACGTCGGTCGATTTCTACTAGAAGGACGGGCGATGACTCTTTTAGTGTGTAGTCGTGAACAACGCGCCCTCGATAGCATCACATACGTGTATATTCCACATCTTCGACAACGAATCAACGCCAGCGACTGTTTAAAACCAGTGTTATAATGACTGGACTTTCTATTTTACGCATTCAGGCATTTGACGCTAGCGCAACCCTTAACGTCTATAGGCCACATATACCACAGTTGAAACGGATCAACAGGTTGTGGGTGTTTACATGCGCCCTTGCACTTTGGCTTTATCTTGGAAGTAGCTTGCGCTTTGATGCATAATTCTTTCGCCCAGTTGTCCAACGCCCATTGCGCCAAGTATCGGCGGTACCCTGCAAAAATCTGAACTGTTCGATAGTAACAATCGATCGAGACAAAGGTCTGAAGTAAAAAAATGCCGCAAGTGCTATAAAGTGGTCCGATCTGGAAGTGCTCACTCTCTGGCCTATTCTTGCGCGCCTTATCTCTAACTCCTACAACAATTCGTGGCTCACTTTTCCATTCGTAAGCTTACCTGAAAACGAAATAGTGCCCGCTCAATCATCCCTCGACGTCATGCCCGCTCAATTAAAACACACCAACGATCCAGCGCTGGTACTTGTCATACCAGCGTGTGCGCCAGTTGTCCAGTGATGCATCGATGAGTTCATGCACAAAGTCCTCGCAAGAGTTGATATCCAACTCTGGCTGAAAGCGTGCAGCGAGGCGCTCGACCGTGAACTTAGGGTCCCCGGCAAAACACGGGAGGTGTTCGTTGCCATGCAGCATCATCTCGACAAGCAAAACGAATCGGTGGCGATACTTCCGTGCGACAAGGAATGACCGCACGCAAAGGGACCGAAATCGACGAAAATGCGTAGAACGTGGACCACCCATAAGCTCCACAAAGTCAGCCGTCAGTTTGAAAGGAGCCTGCTCAAATGCCATGTTGCCCGGATTGTTGGCCAGAATAAAGCCGAAGTCAATATGGATGATATGGCCCTCAGCGTCCAGCAAAATGTTGCCGTTGTGGCGGTCTTTAATCTGAAGTAGATAGCACACGATCGCATAACCAGCCATGCTGCTCACAAAGTTTGATCGAGCCCGATTAAAATCAGGCGTACCAGGATCGCCAAAATGCCTCGTGAAAAAGTTCAACAGCGTCGTGAATTCGCGATCGTTGCGTTTCAGCGAGTCGATTGATATAGTGTCAGAAATCGCTTCCACTAGTCCCGAAGTAGCGGATATAGCAATCACATCGTACGGTCGGATGAACACAGGCACCTTGAATTCTTCAAACACCTTTGCAAACTGACGAATCAGTTGCAACGCCAACTGCTCTTGACGGAGATCGTCGTCGCTTTTGACAATCACAGGCAACAATCGCCAGCCCGGAAGCTGTCCATACGGCGACGTGGCTTGAACACGGCGTTCCTTGTCCGCCCAGCGCTCCTTGAATACTACACAGGGCGGCTCGCCTCCCACAGTCTGGTGAAACGTTTCAGAAAGCAAGCTCGTGTCCTCGGCTTTCTCAGCTTCCTCAAGCTTTGAGTCACGCTCGGACAGATCCTGCAAAAACTGGTCTGTACTGTCAAGGCGTACAAGATCATGAGCTGAGCACGCCGAGCTTTCCGACCGAGGCGACTGTGCTGTATCCGAATCTGGTGACCACCGACCGCTGATACTGGTCACCGGATCACCCACACCAACGTCTTCGGTGACAACCACAGCGTATGGAGAAGTCACGAGCTGGAGCCCTGGTGTACGCGTGTCAACAGATCCTGTTTGCTTCGAGAACGCACGTGTGCTGTCAAAAGATGGCTGACTCTGGCTTCTTGCAGGCGCATGGCGAAAGGAGTGAGTCGTATCCTCATCATACTCGTCACCTTGCTCCTCGTTCAACAACGCCTCATCCTTTGAATCGTAGTTCTTACCCCCTGAGTTCTTACCCACAAGCGAGTCAAGCAGTCCATGCAACAGCTCTGTTGGTTGCGCCATTTTGTTAGAGATGTGGTGTGAAAACGATCGGAGTCTGGTTGGGCTGTTAAGTACGCGCGACTCACTCCAAAAACCCAGCTTGGAAGCGTCTGGGGACATCAACGGCGTGCGCTCCGCACATGCGCAAGTTGACGTCATGTCTGGACTTGCGCTAGTGTCCCACAGACCAAGCGTAAAGCGCCGGCCGTTAAACACACTGCGGCGGCGATTGTTCCGAGCTGCATGTTCTTGTTGAGGAGACGGGTAGTCCACAACCTCAGCGCACAATAGAAAAGGTACACGTTCCCGTGTCGAAAAAGTAAAACTTTCGTCGACGTGGATGTGCTTGAGCCGGTGGTAGGAGTTCCCAACCGGCAGGTAAAGCGAGTTGCTTGGCAAATACTGAGTTTCCAGGTCTTGTAGCCAGACACGAAGCTTTGCAGGAAACATAACCACACAGTAAGTACGTTAAGTGTAGCAATACACGCACTTGCACAAGCTTTGCCAAACCATGACATGACGTACCATGTCGTTGCGACGGTTGTACGCTACCGCACGCAAATTTGACGACACGTTTGCCAAAGAGCACAAAAATGCGGTTTCGAGCTCAAACGGCTCAGTACCAGAGACACGGGGCAGGGTGGGTGCCAGAGAGCTTGCCAGCTTTTGCTCGAAATCGTTCGTCTCCTCGAAAGTAGCGTAGTGGTCATCCCGCACTCCCGGCAACAGCGCTTCATCTTCTCGCGAGTTTTCTAGTCCGTCCGACCCGCGATCTACACACAGCTGGTAGTGCTCCGAGTTTGCTGGGCTCGGCGGGCGAGCAGACGCCACTGCCGGCACGGCACCGCACTCCGCTACATCTTTGATCAGCCTCTGCACCCGCTGCACACCACTTTCCGTGACGAACGCCGGGTTTTCCAGACAGTACGACTGCAAGTACCACAGCATCTTGTGCGCAAACACGTGCGACCTATCACCAATCGCACTCGTCAGCTCCTCAATCTTTACCTCCTAGCACCATTTACTGCCACTTACACACTGCATTTACGCAACAACATTGCGTACAACTGCGGCGATCGGGGAAATGCTCCCAGAAGCAGAAACCCGCACAATTGCGGCAAGTAAAACTCAAAGTCGCCTTCATCTCGATCCGAAGACACTACCAGTTGATCCACAGCTCCCTCTTGATGAGCATATAGACTCACCATCGCTTCGAACGTTGGGTCTTTGCTCTTTCGCCGCCCAGCCAGTTGCTTGCCGAGCGTGGCCCACTTGGACCTCCACTTGGCCCGCGGCGTCTCGCCCATCACGTCCCTCAGCAGCTTTTCGTCGGACAAGCGCCCTCGACTCTTGTTCAGTTGCAAAATGTAACCCATCTGGAGCGCCGTGCTTACCATCGCCATCAAGCCGAGCGCAACAATGTAAAGGCCGCCCCAGGCCACTCGACGGTACTTGGAGAACGTGTCGATGCGCCTGCCATCCAGATACAGCAGCGGCTGCAGCGAGCCTAGAGCACAACCCACCACTTCGACAAGCGACACACTGAACACAAAGCACCGCGTGGACGGCACACGCTTGTTGCGCCGTCGGATGTAGACAAAGAAGAGCAGACGGAGCAACGACAACAGCGCCTGCAGGGCCAGCGACTGGTGGAACTGCAGCGCAGAGCGCAGGTCCGATGCCAGGATGGTGTAGCCATTTGACGACACGAGCGGGACCACGACGTACACGCCCAGCACGGACGTCTCGACGGCGAGCGCGAGCAGGTTAAACAGGCCCATGAGGCAGTCCGACCGACCGATGACTGACTGCGGTTGGACCTCCTGAGCTGTGATTGGCTCGCGAGCGACCTGATTGCGCCAATCACAGGGACTTGATCAAACGCTGACACACACGGAGCTGTGGTTCCATCACACTGTTGGACGACTGCGCTGCTACTGCTACTGCGGCTGCGGCTGCTGCTTACACTATGGGCACCTACCTACTAATCTCGACACAAGTCAGTACGGACGCGAGCGACGGTCCGCGCGGTCTCGAAAGTCGCGGTCGCCGCCGCCTCCTCCTCCTCCATTCCCTCCGTACCGACTGTAGCCACCACCACCACCACCACCTCCACGACCGCCGCCGCCGTACCGGTCTCCCCCTCCAGAGCGTCCTCCACCACGACGGCCACCGCCGCCACCTCCACCTCCGTACCATCCACCTACGGGTGGTTCAGGCTTGCCCGCTAGTTCCACCTTGATAGTATTGCCACGAACGTCTGTACCTGTGCACCATAAGCAACACACGCCTACATCAGTTTCGCCCGTCCTTTCCAACAACCCATACACTAGCACCACAAGGCAGACTGACCGTTAAAGAACTCGGGCGCCGTGCGCGCTGCGTTCGCGTCTTCGTACGTGAGGACCGCGTCCCCTTTTGGCTGTCCATCGGCGTCCGTGTAAATCTTGATCTTGAAAGGCCACTGGTCTTTGAACCCGCGCTTCTGCTTCTCGCGAGCGACAATACCAATGGCCCCAAACATTTCTTGGAGCTCGTCGCTCGTCGCGTCCGACGGGAGGTTCGAGATGTAGATGCGCGCCCACGTCGGGTCCGCCAGCGCCTCTTTCGCGGGATCCCACGCGCCCGACGCTTTGGGTTGGCACTCGTCTCGTGGATCCGACAGCGCGCCAGTTTCCACGTCTCGGCCCCCGTCGCGACTGCTGTGGCTCGTGCTGGACTCATAGCGAAGTGGCGCGTCGCGGTTACGGCCCCCGTCCCGACGGTAGGCGTCTCGGTCCCGCGGCTGGTCACGAGACGGATCTCGGCTCCGGTCTGCGCCGTATCGACTGGCGGACGAGCCCGCAAAGCGGTCGCCGCGGTCGCGGTAGTAGCTCATGGGTAGCAGCGGCTCGGTGCGTGGCCAGACGGTGGCGTGTTTGTTGTCAATGCTGCAAATGTAGCCATGTTGATGTCGCAGGGACGGACGGACGGACGGACTGTCTGGATTCGCTCAAACTCGGGTCAAATCGAGACATGGCAGTGGTGGAAATCCCGAGCAGCTGGTCATGCAGCTGATTGGATGAAATCGAGTGCAGAAAAGCTGGATACAAGCAGATCCGATTCTTCCTGCGGATGTCGTGAGGAGGCAGCAGCTTCGTTTGCTTGCGCTGGGCAGAGAGGATCGACTTTCGACCAATGATCGACCGTCTTGAGAACGAGTCAGACTCACACGACACCCGCTCCCCCCTTCTCTATTATTAATACCAGCGCGCGAGGCAGCCACAATCAGGCGAAGCGAATACACCAAAGGCAGAAGGCGACGAAGCAGTTGGAGGCAGAGAGCAATCGTGAGACGCGGCGCTGTGGATCATGGAAGAGAAGTCGAGGAAACCCGAAGGTGTGTGTGTATGTGTATGTGTCGCTACTGACGGTGCTGGTTGGTGGCTGTCGAGAGACGGAGACTGAGCGCTGCACTTGTTGGTTGACTGCAGACACGCCGTTCAAGCAGCAGAAGCTCAAGGCGTGGCAGCCGATCCTCACGCCCAACTGGGTCATTGGCACGTTTGCGGTCGTCGGGCTCATTTTCATTCCCATTGGGGTCGTGCTGCACACCGAGTCGGACAATGTACGGCGTGATATTCATTTTGACAGGATTATGTAGTAGCAGGGTATACTAACGATGAGAGGTATTGTGTGTAACAGGTCGTGGAATACTCGATCCAGTATGATGGAGCCGACACGACGCCATCATCGAACGTTGTGGACATTGGTAGTGGCTGCTACATGAGCGAAGAGAGCCAGGGTGATTTGTTTGACGTGGACGAACGTGGCTGCCGCATCATTTTCACGATCGAGCAAGAGATGCGCGCGCCCGTGTACTTGTACTACCAGCTGGACAATTTCTACCAGAACCATCGTCGCTACGTGCAGAGTCGGAGCGATGCACAGCTTCGTGGAGATGCTACGGCCAGTACCAGCGACTGCTCGCCGCTGACGACATCTGGAGTAGGAGTTTCGAAGTACAACTCGACGGCGGCGACGCCAATTGGCAACAATGAGACGAACTACAGACTCATGCCGTGCGGATTGATCGCCAACAGCTTGTTCAATGACGTTTACTGGGTGAACCGGCTGGAGACGGGCGGCCGTACGTACTACCAGAACGATACGTACCAAGGCAAGACGCTGGTGAACTTGGTGGACCAGACGGGCATCGCGTGGAAGTCGGACGTCGAGACCAAGTTCAAGAACATTGACTTGGGTGCTCTTGCGGATCCTGACAATACCATGATGATTTGGCAGAATCCGCGCTACCGCTACATCGTTCCTATGTTTAAGGGTCAAGCACCCATTGCGAACAAAACAGCATGGACGACTAATGCACCTGCGTTTGGCGTCCAAGATGAGCACTTTATCGTTTGGATGCGTACGGCCGGTCTACCGAGCTTTCGAAAGCTCTACGGCCGCATTGATACTGATCTGCCGGCGGGCACGGAACTCGAGTTTTTGGTCTCCAGCAGTACGTTTTTCGTGTTATCCGTTTGGCTTGTAGGAGGACAGGTTTCTGAATGACGGCTTGTTTGTTTCTGCGTTCTGTCAGACTTTGTGGTAAGCACGTTTGAGGGCAAGAAGTCGATCGTGATTTCGACGACGTCGTGGTTTGGTGGTCGAAACCCGTTTCTCGGCATCGCGTACATCATCGTTGGTGCGCTCTGCATGGTGCTGGCCATTCTATTCTTTGCCAAGCACAAGCTTAGTCCGCGTAAGCTGGGTGACACGCGGTACCTGGTGTGGAAGAACAACCACTAGGCGGCAGGATAGCGGGGCGTTCAGACGCGGGACAACGGAGCTGTTAGCTCGTGGTCGTAAGCGGGCTACGAATGTCTGCTGTGTTGAGGCATGCTCCATCAAGCGCTCGCTGTTGTTACGACTGTATTCTCATTCATGAATTGCATAGCTGAGGCTCCACATAAGTTCTTGTACGAGAGAGCAAGAATCAATCTGAAGTTGCACGTGCTTATTGATATTGTAGGATAGTTGCTGATGCTGTCGAAAGTCCTTGGATGGGTCGTAGTTCAAATGGATCGATCACAAAGTTCAAGGGCCCTCAAGTCGACAAGAACTGCTAAGGTGTGGTGCCGAGCGTCAGTCGCACAAACAAGTACATCCACCTCCTTTGCTGAACGAGGTGCGTCAAGCCAGTGATTCTAGTCTTGCCGCCGTCTCCGAAGAACAATGCAACGCTCTCACTTGTAAAAAGACCACGCATGTGTATCCGCGACTGAGTTGTTCTTCGAGCCACGAACTGCTGCAGTCAGTGCAAAGCTATAACAACCGTCTTTGCTTAGCCACAGCATTTCGCGCCCTTTGCTTATAGCGCAGAAGACCCACCATCAGATATGTCCATTTGATAAGGTGCTTAGTGACGTCGAGATGCATTGGCTGCGTAAGCTTCCCGACAAAGTGTCGAGTCCATCAATTGGATGTGATACCTGCACAAACTTTCTCCAGATGCTGCGACTTCAGTAGTGGGTCTCCGTCCAAGCTGTTCAATGCCGGGCATAACGACGACCTCTTGTTGAGCTGGAGCACGTGGCTGTGAGTATCGAGGCTGCGGCGCTTGCTTTTCTTTCTTTGCGAAGCGAACGAACAAGCAAGTGTTGTTCCACGAGCGACGACTTCTTGGGACCTGTGCACCCACGTTGTTCCTTTCTCGACCCCAAAAAGTAGTAAACAATATCCAACATCGGAAGTTCGAAGAGTCATTTGCTCGCTTGGCGAGGGCTAACCTCCCAGCAAATGATCACAAGAAACGACATTTATTTCGTATCTTCGCACGAACGATCCTCACCCTCCGAGTGGTACAGCACGAATGCGTTATCGGCTTGTGAGCTGTGTGGCCTCTGTAAATCGCTTTATCCATGTTTCACGGCCTACGCTGGCAGGGGCGCGAAAGCGATACATTCGACGGCTTGCACCGGGTGGAACCAATTTGATCTTGAGTTCATCAGTTCGACTGCGCACGACGCTGTAGCCACTAATGCTAACAGGCTGCTCAAGCGGAGGTCCACGTTCTTCGTACTCGCTCTTCGACTTGTAGCATGTAAGCGTCGCATGCTTCAGCACGTAGAAATACTGGCGCCATCGCGAAGTAAATACGTGGCCCTTCTCATAACGATCGAGGTAGCCCGACACCATACGGCCCTTGTCTGTCACCTTGTCCACGGTGTCGATTGTGCGCCTCGTCGCCTGCATCGTGCTCTGATACAAAGCTTGCTGCTCCGCCAATGCGCTTTCGATCTGTGCGTCAATACCACCTATTGCACCTACAAGTGAGCTCAACTGCTCAGCATGAGATTGTTCAATCTTGGCAACAGCCTCTCGTTCTTGAAGCCCCCACTCTGTGTTCACCTTAGTAATGCGCTGTACCTGACGCTCCTTGCTCTTTAGTGACTCCCTCAATTCGTCTATACGGTGTTCCTTCACCTGGCAAGCTGCAGAAAAACGGTCGTGCTCTTGTTGGACCAAGTGTCGCAGCTGGTTGCGGACGGGTCCATGAAGAAAGCCCGCAAGGACTGTTGCAGCCTGGGGACCACGAGACACAAAGTTGTACTGAGACACCATTGCCTCGAGATTGTTCTTGTAGGTCAGCAACTCCAACGGAACTCGCGTCAAATCGACAGGAATATTCTCACTCTTTTTGTCGACGTGCATTGTCGAAGATTCAGCACGGCCTCGTAATTGCTGCTGCTGCGCCACCTTGTCGGTCTCACTCTTATGAAGCACCACTGAGTGCAGATAACGAAGCAATTCACCACAAAAAATAGCCGACGAAACTTCATTTGCGCGATCAAAGCGCCTCCGTACATTAGCCAGCTTTGCCCACAAATGCTGGGAATCAAGCGAGACGGCAAGATTCGGGCCGGACGATCGGGGACCCCGCAAATCCACTAGGAACGGCTTCAATATTGCGTGAGCGTCATCCAAACCATCTGCGTGCACTGCATCTAACACACCAGTATCGACAGGCATCGCCTCACTAGGCGCGTTCTGATACTCCGGGGGAATCGAGTAACTTGCGATACTTGCCATGCACCGTGCCAGCAGTTGCTCAGGTGCTCCTGCGGCCTTCGCGTTTACTGCAGCATCAGCTTCTACCGCTTCTACGTCCGTTTGACCACCACCAGTTCCTCCACAATGACTTCCTGCTGTTGCTGGGCCTCCACCTTTACTCAGCGTGCTCCAGCGACTAGCCGGAAGTCGCGAAATCTGTTTGCTAAAAGCACGACCGGCCCTGTTTTTCAAAAAGCTAAACAGACCCGTATCGAGCTGCGCAGTTGCTGGCAATGTCTCCATACTACCCCCTCCTTCGGCGTTCTCGTCAGAAACCTGCTGTGTGTTCAAATTACCAAATTCGTCAAAAACCGAGTAGACTCCCTTTCCATCGTCTCCGAAGGCATAATGCTGATTGTGCTGCGAGTGCCTCGCCATCAGCTTTCGTTCTGTGACATCCACAAGGTACTCTGCAGTGACTGGCACTCGTTCATACACCGCCAATCTCGCATGCAACACGTCGCAGTACGCTTTGTAGGCTTGTTTGATGAGGTCCTGCCAATGTGCAGCAAACACATTCGCCACCACGCGCTGCAGCACTACCGACGAGCCATATGGAGCTGCCATGACATGTGTCAACGACCTGATGAATCGCACAAGCAGAGCGCCGTTCATGTAACGCCCAAAGAAGGATTTGCACTCAAGTCGGTCTGCTGCATGCGTCAGCAGCTTGGGCGATGTGTGCGGGAGATGAGGCTCCAGAAACGAGTGGAACTTCAGCACCACACAGTCTCGTACTGGGACTAGAGCATTCAATAGCAGCTGCGCATCCGTTGATCCGCTGGCCAACTGCTGCTCAAAGTACGTGGACGGCGACTCGCAGCCGCCCATGTCCTTGATCTTGAGGTCCACTGCACCCCACGAAAGCCGTGGCGCCAGGTCTTGCAGTAGCGACGCGTTTCTATCGGCATCATCAGACGTTTCGACCACCTGCAGCTGGGCAAAGTCCTTTAGAAATGGCAGCGCTGTCCCGATCTTGGCAGCAGAGATCGCGCCATGGGCCACCACCATCACGTGCGAGCTCAATACAAACAGCAGCGTGCCCCAAAATGGCTCATCAACGAGCGAGACGCCTTGCAGCACTAGAAACAGCATATTGGCGCTCTGTGCAGACACAAACACGGTACTGGGACTCAAAAAGAGGCCGCGCTCACACTCGTCCGTCGAGTTGCTGGGATCGACGACGTAATAAACGCCCACAAGCGCCACTTTTCGCGTCGACAGCTTCGCACGATGGAGCACGCCTACACCAGCAGTGTGCAGCTGGTAGTTGCTCCCATCAGAAGCGCTGGGGCTCGTGTATAGCGGCACGAGCGTCGCCTCGCTTGCCATGATTGACCAATTGTAAATGCCAGCAGCAGACACAGTTCAGGTCTATTTGAGGCATTCGAAGCGGCGACAGTTGTGTCCAGGTCACAGTTTTTGAAGCTACACAAACAGCTGCCTTTATGTGCTAATTGATAATTGACCTATTTCGTCCAAGCTTGCCGCAAGTGCGATATGCTGACGTGTTTATCACAAATAATCGCAAACCTGAGGCGCAGTTTCTCACGGAACGCGCTGGTATTGCAGTGGACGTCGACAATTGACGATCCAATTGTGATACTTATCGGAAAAGGTACTCTTTTTCATTTGACCAAAATAGAAGCAACAAATCGAGTCAAATGAGTACATCTCAATTAATTATGCAGGCTGGTTCGGACAACAAAAGCACAAATTTAGCAACAGTAGCAAATCACGACCACCGACGACCATTTCGTAACACGCTTCTTAGTCGATCTACTAAATGCTGACGCGCAAAGTCGGCATGTTGTGCGCGGAGGGGATCGTGCCGCTACAACGTAAGCGTAACTTGGCGTATGAGAAATGATTTTATGGCGGTTTGTCGTCATTAGCTTAGCTTATAAAAATCGACATAGCAAAGCAATGTACGGTCTTCAACATATTGATGTTATAGTTGAATATATTCCCACGATGTCCAGTATCCTGTGATCCATCGACATCGCTTTCACGTTACATGATATCCATTTACAGCTTATGCTAAAATGCACGGTGAGCACACTGCAGGGGACAAAAGAATATAAGGGAACGCTGCTTAGCACGCACACGGATACATACCCCTTCGACGCACCCTCTCATTCATGAGCGCACAAGGAGACTGACAGTTGCTTGCGGAATGAAGGGCTACGTGGAAGAATAGTGTTCAGTGTGAACTGAAGTAGCTATGGAAATGCAATGTATGTCGTCGCCGAAACAGTATCTAACAAATGCTCTTGTAAACAACGAATCGGAATGGCAGATACGCGTGCAAAACCAACGTGGCTCACTGTAAACAATACAAACGGAACCTTTTCAAATCGGGTCCCGCCACAATTACCGCATCGACCAGTGAACACAGATGGAGTAATGCGTCAGCCGACTTGCAGCTGATGACCTGCAGCAAGAGTGACGTTCAGGTCATTTTCTTGCAACATCCACCCATCAGTATTTTGCGGCATTCGCAAAAGACAAGCGCTATAAAGTGACCGGGCATGACAACCCTCAGCGACATGACTATGAGCAGAGCTGGTGCTACTGTCACCGTGACGGAAGAGAAAACAATTAAACAATGGGAGCAGATCTGCTACTTCCACAAGACAGTGTGTTTGCAAGAGACGTAATGTGTCCCACTCTTTTACAAGCACCATCTAATGCGCTGACACATCTACTCATTCCAAGTCGCTGCGCGTGACCAAGCTGATGTATCCGTGCGATATCTTGCGACTGTCATGACTCCGAGCCTAAATCGGCCATGATTGTCTTGCAACTTTTGTGAAAAGATTACAGCTTCTTCCTTTTGCATAGGCGAATCGAATGACAGCTTGTAGATCGTAGCGTTTATTGCCGCCAGTACTAGCGAACTCAACAAGTGCTCGAAGCATACCAAAAAAACGCAGTTGTACAAGTCAAAAGCACGGTATTCGTGTCATTTGTGGGCGGAATACGTTGCCGGTAAAGCCAAACGAAAATACAGATGAGTAGATAAGGCGTTCTTCTACAGCTGTGCATGGTTGGCAAGGCGATTTGTCATTGTAAAGGAGCTTTGATAGCTAGGTGTAAGAGGAACTAAAGACTCAAACAGTCTTTTCAGCTACGGAGACAACCTACATTCGTTGCAAGATTGAAATAGCTTGATCGTTTCCCTGTACTTGCAGACTTTGAGCGTTATATCGAGACACTCATCAAAGCTATAGGTGTCTTTTGCTTTCACGTGAGCCGACTTGTATCATGCAACGAATGCGTTTCGATAAAGGATATTGTGGCGGAGATAACGGAAATGGCTTGAACGCCAGTTTCGGTAAATACTCGATTTGTAAATACTCGGTTTGCAAGTACTGCTTTGTAAGATACAATTTTATACCTGTGTATCGCAAACGACACCTTGACCTGCGCGGTCACACCGTTACGGTCCTACAATTAGGACACCAAGCGCGTCTACGTCTTTCGCTAGCGATGGAAGTTGTACTGCGCGCTTCTTAAACGACATTTCACACTGTCTCGTCATTTGCATTGATTATAGACCACGAGTAGGTTCCTTAATAATGCAAACAGTCGTGTTGTTACGGCAAGTCTGAACTTGCAGTGCTGGCACCACATCCACTTCAGACCATCGTCCGTGCACCCCTTTGTCCTCCTGCTTCATCGTCTGTCTTCAGCTCCGGTCCAAATCGAATACGATGTCGAGCCTTTGTTGTCCAAGCAGACGTTAGCAAACCGTATGGAAATGCCGTCCACGCTACGAAAAGTGCTAGATCTTAGTGAGAGAGAGAAGTTCCTCCCGATTCGAGTGCAGCACTCACCACGTCCACTTTTTTTAGTGCTGACGAGCTCGACTCTTCTAGGCAGCACCCCTTGACATCTAATAGTGTGTTGTGCGCAGTTAGTGGCAAAAGCAAAGCGAAATTCATTGTGTATCTCTTATGCATGTAAAGCAACGTGCTTACAGCACGAGGAGGAACGTTTTCACGGAAACCCCCGTCAATCTTCATGACTATTACCAACTTCATCACTCATCCATCAACAAGTTGCACAAGACTTGGAGTCACAAATCTCTTCCAGCCAAATTCGGTCGCGTCCAGGCAGTTGGACAGAAACGTGAGCTTCCATTTCCAGAAGAATTATCGTGAAAATGCTCATAGTTTGGACTGTCCCTATAAGCTGGATCACGACAGCGTAGATTCGCTGCATTCGCTTCGCTTTACTAAGCGTTTGCCTACTTGCCAAAGCATGGTGCAACCGGTTGATGAAAGAGGAACGTCTCACCACAAGCGGATCGAACAACTTCCACAACCACACGGCACCAGACGGTGATACAATATCCCGATTAAAGGAATCCCAAAAGCGAAGTCAAGTCTCACACCTGTCGCACAAAAAGTGTAACCTTTGTATCTCAGGCCACATCGTCGATCCAAGTAGATCGGAACATGCGTCCCCAGCACTCAGTCCGACCTCGGAAGGGAGAAACACGTGAGCAGGCCATGTCTCGGCTATCGGAGCAGCACTCGGATCACGCGTGCGAGCTCGTGTGGCACGAGGATCTTCGCAGACCCAAGAAACCAGCAACAAAGCGTCCGAAGAAAACAGACTCCATCGGGTCCCGCCCGATGCTCGAGGGTGACAAGACGACCCGTTTACAGTTTGCCTT